TCGCAGATGCTTCCTTGTCATTGTAGTTAACAAAGTTCCATAAACCCGGTCTACCGCTGTCTGTTTCAGATGTTAACGCGAAAATAATAACGGTTTTGAAAAAACCATAACAGATAAACCCTTTTTGTCATCCCAATTCTATACCATGCACCGAACAGTACTCACATTTGTGGCAGTAGCGATAATTTAGTATGCTGATCAAATTCTTTAATTAGTGTATGGCGAACGAGTGGATCTAACTATCAGCACGTACAAAACTTCCTATTGTACAAAATTTCGACGAACATGCACAATTAGCCTGAGTTAATCTGTGAGCATGAATAAGCTGAATAACTAACGCAAAATTACTCACCGTGCACAAAAGAATCCAATGAAATCTGATTTAATGACTGAAAACATGCACAGGAACATAAGCTGAACTAGCCTGCGTAGCATGGCGGTTTTGGTTGGGCGACCTAAATATAAAGGCGGGCGAAGGCAGAGAAACCGCGAGGAGATTGGGGCAGGGGCGACTTGGTTTTTATTTTTCAAGCGGCTTCGCAACTCAGTCTTGCTGCCGACAAAACCGTCATGCTACGCAGGCTAAAGCGGAACTGCAGAAAATGAAAGAGATCTAAAGCAAATTACTAACACGTAACCGATAATACAGGCATCAGACATCACCCTAGTGTCATTATTGAGGCGCTTTTTTCGATTGGCACGCTATTATTGACAGTCCGGCTATTTATGGAAAGCCAAGCGTGACAAAAGTGTTCCAAAAAATATATATAGGTTGTACCATCGAGTTTGTGATGTACTGTGTTATTAATGGGTTGAAAATTACGTATATATAGCTTACGGTGAGGTAAATACAGGGTTGGAAATTTGGCCACATATATCTGTCACTTGACACTCGATATGTTGTTACAGCCTGAAATAAATATACAGAGGCAGACGGGTGCAAACAATGCCACGTTATGAAAATTAATATCATCGACGAGAGTCGATTATAATGGGAGGGACCTGTTTTCAGTATTTTAGAAATCCCAGGTAATATCTCACAGAGAAGACGCTACGACACTTTCACGAGTTCGAAGTAATCGACTGATCTTTCCTAAGAGTTACTAGTTGTGTGAGGCTATGCGCAAAGTGAAGAGTTGAGAGTGGGGGCGGGTGCTTTAAAGGTATAAGAGCCTGTAGCGCAAAAGGCAGCTTCGCCTTGAACGTAACCATGACAACCAAGCGGGTGCAACATCAGACACAAAAATTTCAGTGGAATAATTACCACAACCCATATTTACCTATCCGAGGGGGAGGAGTGGGAGCAGAAACTGGCAACGAAATATCTTAAATCAAATCGATCCGCAAAGATCAGCAAAGCAAAGCAGGCGAAGCTGAGTCATGGATTTCACATGTAAGCCCCTGCAGACTCGGGGGCCACCCCGCACAAGCTTGGCTGCCTGTGGCTCAACTGCTGACCCGTTAGTGATGTCTCGAGGTCAATCTTCAATCGGCGACAAAATTAGTTGAGAGACTTCGCCCTAAATGGACTTTCTGACGTTTTACTGACTTCCAAAGGGGAAATTAAAGCTTAACGTTGTGCCGCTGTTCGAGCTACCTACACCCCAACTTTGAATGAAGGGGAGGGGGAGGGGTGTGGATTCTTTTCATCTCTGTAGTTAGCCTATTTGAGTACTTGAGGGAAAAAATTGCAAATTTTTCACCACTTCATTGTCTCACAATTTCCAGAAGAGACTTTAGCACAAAGAAAACCAAACGAAATATAGAAATATGACCAGAACGCCTCAGAGTCATGTTGGAATTTTAATATATCGAACGTGCGCTATTTAGCCTTGTTAAAAATGGGAAATACTTGATAGTCATTTCCAGGTTTTCCTCATTGATCTTTTTCTGATTGTCTCTGCAGATTGTTAATTTTAGGTTCATACCAGTTTCTCACCAGATTAACTTTTGTCTGGCTGTCAGTTTGGTTTGGGCAACAATTTTGAGTGTCATACGAGCCTCCGAGACAAGCCATGTAAAGGAAATTGAATCTATAGACACCATATCTATAACAAACTACTCTGTAGAAGCCACTCAGCAGTGACCATGGAGCGATGGTCCTTAGAGGAAGAAGGGAAAAAAATCCGTTGCGCAAATTTTCGCGGCTGTCACATCAGTTGTCCTGCTCCTACTGACTCGCTACTGGCTCTCTGAGGATAAGGCTAGCCATGCTTTCAATTTATGGGGTCACGTTATGAAGCAAAGAGGGCGTCTTGCGTTCCTGCGGAAGAGAATTTTGTTGTATATAAGACAGATAGCATAGATCAGGGTGAAAATTCAAAAAGTTGCGATTTCAATGGTTGGATTCAGGGGTTTCTTGTGGAGGGAAGACCTCGTGGTCGGTAGGCTGCAAAGCAGGCGTATTTTGGGATCAATTTAGGTTTCTGGGAAAATGTCCACCCACCCCTCCCCTGAGCTAACATTAACACTTACTTCTCACTTAGGGCAAAATGATGGCTTAGGGGAGGGGTAGGTGGGCAGTTTCCCATAACCTAGATTGATCCTTTTGAACGTTTGACTGACAGAGAGTTGGGGCGAGTCAAAAAAAGCTTCCAAGAGAGAGGTTGATCCTTAGTTTTCCAGTTGCTTTTATGATGGCGGCCCCGATCAATGTACCTCTAGGTCGAGCCTTCGTTTACAAAAAAAAAAAAAAAAAAGGCCTGCAGGCTACTTGGACGGGACCTCAGGTTAAAATACCAAACGCCAGCATGGGAGCCAGGTTGAAAAAAAAAAAAGATAAGATAAGATAAAAAAAAGTATAAAACCCCGATAACACATTACTTTTCCTTCGTCGTTCTCGCGAACTGTACTCGTCTCTAGCGTTTCGTGTTCGATTGCGTCTTTCTTCGCGCTCGGCTGAGTAAGGGTTGATTTACACTGTCGCGTAATTTTTCCGTGCGAACGCAAGTACATTTTACGTGCATAAATGAAATAGAGGCAATGTATGAAAGGCCACGCGTAAACTAGCCTGCGTTAAAAGGGGAAGGGGAAAGGCGATGGTCTCGCACCCTAATTCCCTTCCCCTTCCCTTTCGAATGCCTGCCACACAGGCTACGCGCAGGCTACACATTGCCTCTATTTTATTTACGCGCGGAAAAATTACGCGACAGTCAGAGAGTAACGCTCGCCATACAAACTAACGAGTTGACTCCTGCTTTTGGTCCATTATTTTAACTACCGTGTTGGCCGGCTGGAACTGAGCTAAAAAATGGAAAATGCGAGTAAATGTCTGCAAATGCGTCTACAATAACAAAAGTCGGGCCTAAGACTACCACCTGGCCTCTGCTTCCAGAAAGACCCCAAAAGGTTTCAGACCCCTAACCGAGGGTCTCAATGGGGTTAACCGATAGGCGTAAAACGGCCAAAAATTTAGTCGATAGCCGTAAAAATCGAAAAATTTTAACCGTTAACCGTAAATAGGGTAAAAAAGAGTTAACCGTAACAGAAATTGTTCCCTAGATTTGTTAATTTTAAGGAAGGTGATAAAGTTCACGTATGGTTGGGTTTTTTGATTTCCCTTCTACTTTGACTCCGTACGAACCTTAGGCCAAGCTCCTTTTAAGTGTTGACCTAGACCCATAGACTCCATTTCCGCCGCTCACTCGAAGAACCAAGTCTGGCTTCTTGCTGGGGATTAATATTTGTGATTTTAAGGGGGTCGTGCCCTCGAAATACTAGTGAAACAACACGCAGAGATGTCACTGTTTGTAAAACACGTTGCTGATAAACAACAATTCCCTGTTTTTCTCTGACGCTACGGTAGACATTGGGAAGACCCCGCACAGGGACTAGGCATGGCACGCAATCTCGGTCAAGGCATTTCGGTGGCATACCTGAGGCAAAAAAACTCGCTCGGACCACTTAACCCGGAATGTATTAGCCGCGCGGAATAATGAAGCCTACGGACAAGTCACGGCAGACAGTCGTTCTGTACAGTCCTTTCTGTATCATTAAAAACACTGGACACGGAAATTTTGTTGTTGGCCGTTTTGATACTAGAGCTAGAAAATAGATCAAACTGTCCGTCAAAATTGGCGGATAAAGTCAGGCGGATTGTTCATTCAAAATGAAAACCATTCCATTTTCAAATTAAGACGCGTTACCTATCTGACGCGAATTATCAAACGGAGAACCCGTCTCACACGAATGGTCCGTCTCTAGTGTGAAAACGTCCATTTCTGTTATAAATGAATTCGCGCCCCGGCCTTGAGTTAAGCGTTCGCGTGTCTGCTTTTGCTTTTTCACGAAGATTATTTACATGTTGCTTGACTGTTGACATTTCTACGCGTAAAATAATATTAGAAGTGGAATACTGTATAAAGTATGATCCATTAAATGTTAAAATTTTTCAAAGGAATAGCTTATTTCATCCCGAGATGATCCTAAGACCTTTATTTTGCTTTAAAGTTAGAAAAAATACAGGTTTATTAATATTTAACTCTTTGAAACAAACGAAATAAACTTTTAACTTTTTTGTTAACCGTAACTGAAAAAACTTAACCGATAGCCGTAAAAGAGCCGAAATTTAGCCGATAACCGTAAAAGACACCACCCAATTGAGACCCTCCTAACCGACCTGAAAGCTGAGAGAAGTTTCAATAGCTTTGCAGATAGAATAATAAGACTATCAGTCAACAAAACAAAATGGACTGGGAGTTGGCAGCCCAGATCTGTGCTTTTATTCATTAGATAAGATTTTGAGTCGAAAACTTGATTCCGGGACTTGATTTGGGGTCCGAAAAGTTTATTATTATACCAGGGGCCAGTTGTTCGAATGCCGATTAGCGCCAACCCGGGGTTAAACGGAAAACCCGGATTAAACGGTTTAATCCGGGTTTCTTTGACCGACGGGACTTCGAGAAATGGCCGGGGGCCCCTATTTGGTCGTTGTAGTCTGGGACGGGACTTACTCCTGGTTCTTTTGAGCCTGCTGTTTCCGCAGCTGTCCGAAATTCAATATGGAGTCTGGTTGTTTTCAGGCGAAATGACTCTCCTTCAACGCTTGAAAAATCTGCCATCATTTTGGGCATTTCGGAGCTTTCTACCTGTCAAGGAAGGTAGTTTCCTTTCTATTATAAAATCTACATTTTCTTTTTTGGGTTAAAAAATGTAGCTGCGGGTATTACGAGGTGCAGACAGTTATCTGCAATGGCCTGGCATGCCCAGGCCTCTGCCAAAATAAAATAACTTCCGTTTGCTTCTGCCTGAATACAATATAGTTAGAAAAGTGCGATTTTTTTGTAGTTAACTGTAATCTTTCCATTTGTATGATTTTAGTGAGTTCATGTTATAATAACCTTAGAAAGAGGATAAATTACAACTAAAATCCTTTCACATTGTCCTGTTTTCATGTGTTTTCATCTTCGCCTCCTTATGTACAGTATGTGCCTATTCTCGGACACTTTTTGCATTTATCACAATGACTTACCTCAGAAGGGTGGGGGCAAGCTGATACTTTCCTAGTATAAAGTTCCCTTCCTTGCATTAACATACCCTAAAGACTGGCTGGTTGAACGCCTAACGTTTTTTCCCAGATTAGGCAATTGATTTTGTCCTTGTGCACCAACATGGGTGCGTGACGTTAGGTAAAAAGTGTCTGCAGTTTGCTGGTCATTGCTATTGAGCAGATAAAGAAATGATCCCATCTCTCATCCTCCGGCGCCCAGTGGGCAGAGTGCAGTCACGCAAGCCAACATACCCTGAAGTGACTACTAGGGATTCAGGACTTGGTACAAGGGATCTGAGTGTGATGATGGTGAACCGTGGTTTGGGAGGGGATCTCCATGAATGTCTCATTTGCTCTAGTGGTCAAAGGATGAGGAGGATGATGATGAAAAACCAGCAATTCTTCATTCTTTTCTAAAATCAAGTGACAGTGTACTTGATCTGTCATCACTCTTAGCGATTCAGTGCCATTTAAGATGGTCCCTAATAGGGTTCTCTCATCCTGTTATCCCAATCCAAATTTTTGCTTAATCCGGTAATCTGGATGATTATTTTTAGCATGCCACAACCGATGCTTACTTTTAATCCCTTATCTTGCCCCCATCCTGCCCTTCAAAAGAGGCAAAGCCTGGATTCCAAAGAACCTACTGGCAACCCTCTTTTAGAGCAAGTCATTTCTACTGGCTGTTATTTTTTATTTCCAGCCTATCCTGCCACCAGATTTCATGGCAAGCTTGTCACAAGATGTTCAGAGCCTTGTTGTAGGAGATTAAGCACAGTTGATTTAAATGGTTAGTACCAGTTTGGTGTTTTATTATTACCCCAACAGAGTTGCAAATAACCCGCAGTCAGTGGGCAATAGAAACCTTTAGATTCTAAGACAATGATGACTACAAGTACGAGATTTTCTCAGTGCTAAGAAGTTTGCATGAGTGAACTGGCATCATTTTGGTGGGAAAATGTGATCACTGTTGTCATTCTACTTCAAGTTTTAGTGAAAATGTCATAGTGACAGAAACAAGTTATCAAATGTTAGAAGTTTCATCACTTTGTGATTGGGTGAGGGATTAACCTCCTTCAATAAAAATAACAGTGCTAACTTTTCTGGTGAACAAAAATTACAATTAAACTTTAAGGGTATTTAGTTTTCAGGATTACGGGAAAAAAACTTTAGCTTCAATCTTGTCCTCGTCCTCGGATCGAGAGGGCTTTGTTGTCTGACTAAAATTTGTCTATGTCCAACAAAATCTTAACTACAAATATGGTTGGACATAATGTCCAGTCAAGGATAATACCAAAGGCAACCAATTTGTAAGATATTAAAAACCTGCCCTGACGTCTCAATGATATAGCATGTTACAGTGAATATATGGAGTAATAAGTCTACCTGAGAATGTTGCACCTACTAAGGGGCCCAACTTATGTTAAAAATGCTTAATGCGTGCTTGATTGTGTCTGATCACATTTTTGTTTTGTCCAGCCAAAATGGTGACTTAGCCGGACATATTTCCTTTCAAGAAAGAAAAAATTATTTGTAGCTCTGCCCAAAACCTTCTAGCCTGGGCCACAGATGGAACTTCTGGTTATCCACTGCGAGCCAACGCAAATCCTTGTTCTGGGCCTTCGGGTTGTGTACCAGGATTTGAGTACATGCCATGGTTGGCCTGTTAACAAAGTCATTGTCAATTTGCTAAGCAGGTTGATGCATTTCGCATTTTCGGCAATTCGTGGAGTATTTTGGGGGCCCAGAACAAAGATATGGGTACTGCTTTGCAGACGTTATGTTTAAAACCAGGATTAAATTTTGTTTGTGATACAGGCTACAAACATTTCTTACACAAGGATTCAAAAGATGGATTCAAAGACATGGGATTTTGTTGTATTGGGGGCAGGAGATTTTTAAGGGTTCTTATTATTTTCAGTTGTTGTGTAACCCTTAGCTGAAGTTTTTTGAACGCTGTTAGTCTAAGCAAAAAGTTATTTTAATTTACTCTTGCATATACTTAGTACAATTAAGTCATATAGTGTGAAAAATACATATAAAACAATGAGAAACACCAAAATAATGAGGATAATGACCCATCAGTGGTTCATTCACATTTCATTATCAGAGTAAACCAGACAGTGAACTTTATTCACAGATCTATTTTGTCAAATATTTACTCTCCCTATTCACAAGCTCTCTTGTAGTTAGGTTTGTATTAGGTGGGTTTTGTCCTAAAAAATCCAAACTGTTGTAATCACTTTGTGATTGTTATTACTGGCCATTTTTAACTTACATCACTGCTCATATCTTGTTTTGTTCAAAGCTGATAGCTGGAGGAGTGGGAGAAAATATATCCGAGGATACGAAAACATACCTGAACTTGAAAGGTAAAGGCAATCACAAAGTCTTTGTTGTAGTTTTATGTAAAATAATGTTTATGCCAGTAAATTGCATATGGCAGTGACCAACTCGAAAGCCTAAGCTCCTTTGGTCACTGTGCACATATTACCTTTCACCATCTATGTAACATTTTTTTTCTTTTTTTTCTTTTTTGTACTGTATTACTCATATATGAAGCTAACCTCGCATCAGGGATGGGTGTTTATGGACTTAAATGATACATGATTTTTGAAAACAAACAGTAAAACATTTGCTTAATCTTTCATGTGCAGTTACTCATTCTTTTTTCATGTTTTGAATTTTTTCTTTCTAGTGCCCCTGAGGAAGTTAAAAGAGTGTTTAGTCTGCAAAATGCAAACCAGGTAGAGTTGACTCCGGATAACTCAAACCCTCGCTAACTTGAACCTCGTGCTAGCTCAAACCAAAATCTATTTCCCCTGGATTTCCGTCACAAATTTGCTGTAATTTTACCCCTTGGTAACTAGAACCCTCAATAACTCGAACCCCCCGCTAACTCAAAGTAGTTTTTGTTTCCCCTCAGATCATTTCTATATAATTTTACCCACGATAACTCGAAGAATGTTTTGTTATACCTTTAAAAAGTGGAGGGAAAAAAACAATGTACTGGCGTCTGAAACTGAATTTTGAAATTCCCATTGACGTGTTGTAGGCATATAGTTTAGTACTGGAGGATGATGTTGTTTGTCACAAATCTAACGTGAAACAACTTTATCAGACTCAAAAATAGTAAAACGCATGCTCTACAAGTTAGACTTAAATGTGTTGTTACATTACGTTCTGATTTATAATCAAGGAGTATCTTTTAATTTTCACTTGACATTTCTACGATTAAATGAGATTAAAATGTTCACTGTGCAGTAAAAACTGTTCTTTTCCCTACTCCTGGCTATTTTCTTTGAGCTTTCGACAACTCGAACTGTTTTCCATTTCCCTTGAAGGTTCAAGTTACTGGAAGTCGACTGTAATATTAATTATAACATGAAAGTTATTGTTTTTTTTTTGACTGAATCTGTGTTATCATCTGAAATATTTGTTTCTGAAGTGTTATTTCCTCAATGTACTGAAAGTTAAGAATAGGAAATCGCTTTTATTGCAATCCAACCTTAGCTGTTTTGCCGACTTATACCTCCGATCAGAATCACAAAACAATGTTTTTTTTTTCACCTGTGAGAAAAATGATCTGTCCAATTAAAAGCCATTCGTGAGTTTCATGCCAAAATTCCTTATGGCATTAATATACTTGTTTTTGTATCATAAATCCCACTCGTTTGTTGCACCAACCTGTTCAATTTCTGACACATCAGCAACTCATGCATAAATACTGTAGGTGCACACTTTCCAATATTTGTTCATTTTCTTCAAATATTACAATCTCCAGTATTAAAGATTTAATCCTGCTTTAATGCGTACTTTTCTTTCATTCCTTCAGTTTGAACATCGGAAAGTTGCCATTGAAAAAGCAAGAGAACAATACACTGATGATGCAGAGAGGAAAAGTAAGTTCTTCTGATGCTGTTTGGCTAATGTACCACTGTAGAGACCAGTTGCTTATGTACTGTTGCACAGAGCACGAGCAAGAAATAATTATGGGAGAGAAATAAGAGGAAGATTCCTTTTTCTCCCATCCCATCACTCCTTGATCCCCCCTCTCAGCCCCCAACCCCCCACTGCTCAAATATGAGGCAGCTTAACAAGTGGGTTCTTATTATAAATTGTTATTTTTTTCATTTATTACAATTTTGAATAATTGCCTCTCCATGTTACCTCTTTCTCATCAGTTGCAGAATTGTCACTGAAAATTGAAGCAGTGAAAAAGCATAACAATACAGGGAGGAATTCAAAAAAGGTAGCTTTGTATCAGACCGTGTTGGAAGTTAGAGTTAAGTTGAATACGACAGGGGTGGGCTTGATTTTCAACACTCTCTCAGGTCTGGTTTTGTTTCTCCCCGAGAAGAGAACTTTTCGGGGGAGAAGCGTCGGCTCATTTCCCGAGCGGTGGTTGGTAATCGAGCTTAACAGAGGGGAAGCTAGGATTTAATTTTCTTGAAAAGGAAGCTGACTAATTGCTTGTTATTAGGAATTAGACAGCTTCCTTGTGGATGTGTTAAGAAGGAATCCATCACGAAACTGAGTAATTTTAATTTTCAGTGGACAAAAACCTTGTACCAGTATAATTTAAACAATATCGCATTCTTTTTTACATTTTTCAAGAGTTACAAATGTAATAAGTTATCTGTAATAACACCAAAGAAAATTTCTTATGATAGGGCGAGAAAATAAATGTCAAATTTCACAAAATGACACCTTACACATGTTATACTACTACATGAAAAATTTCTGCAGTTTGATTGGCTTAGAGCAGTGGTATTTCAGCTTAATTTGAAATACCTACATGTGAAAATTGCAAACCTTTTGTGGGTAGTAGTATAAACAAATAATAGCATGATTTGTACGTAATATTTGGCATAAATACCACTTGTGATATTTCAAAATTGTCTCAAATTTCACTCGCCAAACGGCGCGTGAAATTTCGTATAACAATTTTGAAATATCACACATGGTATTTATGCCAAATATCACTACAAATCATGCCATTACCTATACAAATTTTCAGAATTTTGCCTGTGTTTTCACAATTCTTCTGAAATTTGACATTTATTTTCTCGAGTTCCCATGAGAAATAGTCTTTGGTGTTATTACAGGTAACTAATTATATCTGCAGCCCTTGAAAAAATATAAAAAGGAATGCGATATTGTTTTAATTATTCTGGTACAAGGGTTTTGTCCACTGAAAATTAAAAATTACTCAATTTCCTGATGGATTCCATCGTAAGTCTTTGTAAACGCATTTCTGTAACAGTCCACAGTATGTTAATGATATATGAAATAAATCATATATGAACTGCGGAAATGAAATGAAAATGAAGAAATGATCGTCGCAGTGAACGCAATTTATGCAATTGCATAAAGAAGCCTGAAAAAAAAATTCAGGACTTCAACGGGGTTTGAACCCGTGACCTCGCAATACTAGTGCTATGCTGCACCAACTGAGTTATGAAGCCACTGACATTGGGAGCAGGTCAATAATTGTGGGTCACGTCAATTGACCTGCTCCCAACGTCAGTGGCTTCATAGCTCAGTTGGTAGAGCATCGCACCGGTATCGTGAGGTCACGGGTTCAAACCCCGTTGAGGTCCTGAATTTTTTTCAGGCTTTTTTATGCAATTGCATGAATTGCGTTCACTGCGACGATCATTTCTTCATTTTCAGTCCACAGTATATTAGTATATTTGTAGTCTAAGAGAACAGATCATAAGTAACCGTCACTCCTGCAAATATCCACTGTTTCACTGTTCATCAGCAGGATGCCTAAAATGCCTGCAACACTTCCCCTACAATAATATTAATTACAATTAAAATTATTGGTTAACTTTCCCCTTCAATAAATCTTATACCGATTGACGATGGGAGGAGCCACGCAAAATTTGAGCGCCATTACTGGCAGGACATGTTAATAAGGAGTAAGGGTGGCACAGTGGTAAGAGCACAGGCCTCCCACCAATGTAGCGCGGGTTCAAACCCCGGCATCAACGTCGTATGTGGGTTGAGTTTGCTGTTAGTTCTCTCCGTACTTTGGTTTCAGTTCCCCTCTCTTCGGAAACCACTTCCAAAATCAAATTTGATCTGGAACGCAGGACACCTTTATATAAGAACTCTTAAGTGTTTGGTGAGTGGACGAGTTTCAACTAGCAAATTTTTTTGCAATTAATCCGAGGCTGTCTTGTGTACATAACATGTAGGCATTCTGAGCATGCTCGCGATACATTACATTACATCTATACATTACAGCCTCGCTGATTATTATTTTTATTCTTTTATCCTCGCTTCTTTTTCAGGATAAACACAATAAAGTATTTCTTAACTGGTTAATAAGTCAACGAAAAAAGAAACTAGGCCATCTCAAGAACGGTCGGTTTGAGCGTTACCTGGTGTTATCAAAAGAACTCGACCTTCGTCTTCTGGAGAGCCCGCATACAAAATGGAACAAATACAAGTTCAGAAAGTTCAAAATAGGCGTTGAAATCAAAGAGAAAAAGAGATTCCCTAAGTGACTAAGACTTTAATAAAACCTACAAGTTTTGGTAAAATGTTTGTGCTGGTACAGATTTCTTTGTCCATAGAGTACGCAGCTGGATAAGGGTGGATTTTCTCTTAATTTTTACGCACGTACGCACGTAAATTTTACGCGCCTAAATACAATAGAGGCAATGCATGGAAGGTCGCGCGTGCACGAAAATGTTGAACCTCGCTCAACTTTTACGCGCTTACTTTCACACATTGCTTCTGTTTTATTTACGCGCGTAGATTTTACGTGCGTACGCACGTAAAAATTACGAGACAGTGGACATCCACCGTAATACAGGGCCAATTTTTAAAGTTGGGGCGGCTCGGTGGCTCGACACACCTGACTGACGAGCCGCCGAGCCGCTAAAATGTACAGTTGTTTCGAGAAAGGTTGACGGGAGAAATGTGCACGCGACAATCCCGAAAGGTAATATGGGATATGATCAATACACTGTTCGTAACGACTGAAGCTGTCGAACTACTTTTGTTGCTTTCCTTTAGCACTCGCAAACATATGTCCGTGGCCTCCCGTACCATTCTTTCAAATTTCTTTGAAGAACAGTGCCCTCAAAGCCACCCACAATACCTTTCGAGATTGTCGCGTGCACTTTTTCCGACAACCTTTCTCGAAATAGCTGTATACCCCTCTTGTTCTTTAAGACTCTATTAACCTCGACTGACGAGCCGACGAGCCACCAAGATATATAATCTTTCCTTGTTCCCCGAGCTACTTCTGGTTTTTAAAAGACCTTCCAATATGGCCCTGAATTCTGTAGTTGCTCCCTTGTAACAAATCATTGAGGAGACCCTTCAACGGTTTTATAAACTTTCAGGTGGGTCAGTTAGCGAAAATACGTTGGCACCGTTGGAAAGAACCCCTTGAAATAAGTAAGGTTGCCGTTTGAGACTGACTCAAACTAGCGAATATATAGTTCCACAAAGTCGCGAAATTTTACAGACGTTTGGGTGGTGGTGGTTGCGGAGATTTGATTGACAAGTTCTTATCCCCTCCGTTTTAGTGTCTAAAATTTTGCGACTTTGCGGAGCTATTAGTGAGCTTAAGCGAAGACGTTTTTGACCGACTCGCGTCAACCGGAAGTGGTCTTTTTTTTTTTCATTTTTTGACGGTGGTTTCCCCCAAATGTTTGGACAAATGGCCTCTATAATAGTAAAGACACTTAGAAATGCAAATTTGGTAGCGTCAAGGTGCTTTAAAATGGAAAAGATATCACTTCCGTTTGACGTGCGTAGCTCAAAAACGCCTTTGCTCAAGCTCCCTGTTAATATCCACGCTGAATTTAGAAGTGTCACTTTCAAACTTGAAGTTTATAAGGAAAACTTAAGTTGCTCTTTTCAGCAGTGTCGATAGCCTGCGAAAACATCCGTTTCTCCTTGCTCTTCGTCGATGGGGACGTTTCCATTCTCGGAAACCCAGGGACAGATAGTGGGGGCGAGGGAAAGTCTAAACGGGCGGAAAAATATGGCACGAAGAAAAGTAAAGAACGGCGAGAAGAGCCCCTGGGGACAATGTCTTACCAGACCAGTTCCAAACGGTCGCCGCCGTTTTTCCTTCTGATTGGGCGGAAAAAACACAAAAGTTTTCCGGCACCAATCAGAAGTCAGAACGGCGGCGACCGTTTGGAACTGGTCTGGTAAGACATTGTCCCCAGGGGCTCTTCTCGCCGTTCTTTACTTTTCTTCGTGCCATATTTTTCCGCCCGTTTAGACTTTCCCTTGCCCCCACTATCTGCCCCTGGGTCTCCGAGGATGGGACGTTTCGTGCGAAGAGCGAGGAGAAACGGATGTTTTCGCAGGCTACAGTGTCGATGGGTTATTCCCTAACTATCTAACTATCCTAATCAAAACTATTTATTATGTATATGTTGTGGTTCAATTTTATCCTTGGTTTAAATTTTATTTTCTTTTGTTTCAAACTCATTATCATACATTACCACACCCAAAAACAAAGGAAAATAAAATTTAAACCAAGGATAAAATTGAACCACAACATATATATAGGTGGTTTTCATGCAATCTCGGGAGACACAAATAACAATGGTGAAGTGGACAAATGCTGGTGGACAAACAAAGCCGAGCTAATGAGCGATCTTTTGTTTACCGTCCACCAGCATGGCGGCGATGATGCAACGTGAAAACCACCTATTATGTAAAAAGTAAAACACGTTGAAGGGTGAATTAGTTTTTGCAGTCGTGTACATTCGGGTGCAGTCTCAAAGCTAGACTGCGAGCAGTCTCTTATTTTTATTTGCAAAGTTACTGCACACGAAACCTAAGCACGCGAGTGGCGAATTAAGCCGCGAGAAACGGTGGTTTGCAATCGCGCTGGATGAGATAAGAACTAGACGGATTTTAAGACAAAAGGCGGACTGCTAGCAGTCTATCTCAAAGCCGAGCGGGAAACCGACCGAAAAAAGTATTCCTTTTATAGAGGAACGCCACTCGTGGTTTCACTTTGTGTGTAAAAATAATGCTAATTTTAATGAACTAAAACTAAAAAATGAATACCCTTATCCATGCATCACAAGCTAAGGCCCCGTCCACACGAAGACGATGGTAAACGCAAACTTTTTTATGCGTTTAGGCCTTCCGTCCACACGAAGACGATGAAAACGCTCACCTTAAACGCATAAATTTGAAAACGTTCTCCAAAGTGGATAAATTTGAAAACGCCGTTTATGCGTCTTCGTGTGGACGGCCGTAAACGTATATTTTCGTAAACGCTGTAAAAACGCTGACGTCAGATGTCAGCGCCAGTCTCTTTTACCGAGTGCGTTTCCAAGATGGCGTACACACGAGTGTTGAGCTGTGTCATGCTTGCGCTTATTTCAAGCATAATTGCGAGCATTCAATTGAATCATGCAATAATCGATATACAGGAAAACTACAAAAGAAGAAGACTAAACCTCTCAAGATTGTTATCCACAACTACAAGCACTTTTACTCGAGTAAAACGACTGAGATGCAGACGTGAGAGCAAAGAGAGAAGATTCTGGACCAGACCAGGTCGTACAAGTTTTATCACTTTTTTCTTTCGGTTTCTTGCCAGCAGACTTCGACATTTTTCTTCTCTCTCGATCACATGTGTATGACATCGTTTTATGCGTTTACGAGCGTTTTCGTGTGGACAGGTTAAAACGCTACGTAAACGATGATCGTTTTCGTGTGGACAGAGATAAAAATATGCGTTTACTAGCGTTTGCGTTTACAATCGTCTTCGTGTGGACGGGGCCTAAAGTGACTGTTTACTGAAACATAGGGTACTATTTCATTAGTTTATTACAACATGCCGCAAATGCCTCCGGTTCATTTAATAAGATTACGCCTCTGCTCTCGCTTTCATAAAACAGAATTACTAAATAAGCGGTAAGGTAACTTTAACAGTGACACCGATTTCTCTTGAAATTAAAGGAGTGAAGAACATGCATGATACATATTGTTTGAAATGCAACGCAGTGAACAACACTTATTTTTCTCCACGTGTGACGGTCCAGTTTGTTTGTGAAGGTTTGGTTGAGAGCTTTGCCCGAGTAAACTGTAAATTTAGGAAAATATATAAAAGTTTTATTTATGTTATCAGCAAGCCATATTAATTTGAATGCACAAAAACTGAGGTGGTCACCATTAAATTAATTAGAGCGCTGTCAATACTCGGAATATCCTGATTGGCGTTGGAAAAGTTCAAAACTTTTTCTGACTAACAGAACTGACGGTAGCGCGACGTGCATGAACTTTCACAGTTTGAAGGGAAAGGCTCCTTGTTCATGTATCATTAAAAATCCAAGAAAAGCTCAGATGAGAAACTCAGTGGTAACTCGCTTTGTGAACGTCTAGTAATTCCTGACAAGTCTTGTGTGCGTACAAGAACGTTAGAAACTGCAAGAAGCTGGCAGGAATTGTGACGGTGATACATGATTTTACAGGTAGGTAAGCCGGCCAAGTAAAGGGGCACATCACACAAAATGTAGTATACGTTAAAGGAGCTTTCACCCATTCTAGACCACCACGAATGGTAATTAAAAAGCAAAGCAAACTGGGCATGTGAAATGTTTCAGGTTTTTGTGGGGTACCAGTCGGTTCTGAAATGAAGCTCTTCCCTTTCGACTAACCATAATAGGCATATTGATAGGCATCAGATCATTTGAAATGAAGTACACTGACACTGACTATTAGTGAATAATTCTCTAAAAAGCTGTTCAAACACGAGATAAGATTATTTAAGTGCGAAAAACTAATAACGATACCCTTTAAACGAAAACACAGACCTTTTCACAGGGTTTGCCTCTTCAGGTAAATTTCAGCTATAAAGTAACACGCCATGACATAGACCATCCCGCGGAATTTTTAAAAACTCCTTGACGTAGATCAAACAGGTAAACGTGATTTGTCTGAAATGAGGGAAGATATAACTCTGCAAAGTCGCGAAACTCTGGTATCGTTGGGGGCATGATTGAGTTTTGCATTCTGGTCCATGACAAAAGTTAAAAACTAAGAAAATGAAAAAAAAAAAAAGGGAGAAAACCGGAAGGGAAGTATTTTGGCGCATTTTAAACTCTCTCGACGGTAACTGTTTAACTCGATCATTTTTGCTCGCAATTTATTCATCTTTACTGTACATTACAGAAACTCGCGTTTTACCACGGAAAGTGTTCAACTTGTATAACAAATGCATATTTTGTGTCCAACGTCAAAATTGTTAAAATACTCTAGCTGAGATGTGATCCGATGAACAATATTCGAACCACATATGTAACCTAATGTGTATGGTATAACCGCATCTCCATATTTTGGCGAGTGATATTTGGCAGCTGTTTTTGTATGTATTTATTGGGCAACAACCGTAAAAGTCATATTTTTTAAAATAAAACTCTCATTGAGTGGAGCATATTTGGTCTTTACGGTGGACGGCGAAAATGGAAAAGCGGCTATAACGACTTAAGTGATGGTTATAGTGACATCTCCACGATATAATTCAGTTTCCGTGAAGCATGCTGCCCGGTTCTTAGGGAGCGTTCAAGTAGAAACAAATTTTAATATAAATTAAGATATTTTGCATATTTTTCAAGGAAGTACTTGGATGGCGACGTAAACGAATTACACTGGTGTGAAATTTTTTCTTAATGTGAAATTGTCGAAGAGCATTAAAGTAGCAGTTGAAGTGGTCTGTGAAAAGGTTTTCCTGATCCGATTGGCTGCTGTCGAATTGGCGCAACGGGTTTTCAAGGACGGTCGCCAGAAAAAAATCTTTCAGCGACAGTTCTTTGAAATAAGCTGTACGGTGGAAAATGTTCTTGTTTCGCTAGCTGCTTTACAGCTGATTTCAGTGTTGTGTATACACCCTGATTTTTAGACATGATTCGACGGTCATGATTCGACCGTCAAGATTCGACCGAGAGGTTACCAAGCAGTACAGTATCC